CTGTTCAAACATAAATGATGATTATTATTTGGTTGATTATTTGGATGATTATTTTTGGTTTATTTTGCAATAGAGACATTAACTCCTTTCAGCCACAAGGATTAAGTAGGAAAGGCAATGTGGCTTAATGTATAATATACTGACCAACTAGTTTTCAACCTGCCTCATCTTATGTTGCAGCAATGATGCTATTCCAGGAAACTGGGCCTTACCAGGGCAGAAACAACAGGGCCATGCTTCGGAGAAGGAAAGTTCCGTGATTGCAGGTATCTGAGGAAGTTCATAAGCACATAATTAAATCATATTCTTTGTTGGAAATAGGGTTTCAGCTCTCAAAAGACAAAAAACAATTGCTGATGGGTGGGGAGTGGGAATGAGAACAGTCCAAGGACATTGTTGGCAGACCAAGGGTCACCAAAGGAAACTCTGAGCTGGGAGAGTCAGCAGCACTTGGCTAGTGCTTGGCAGGCTCTGCAGCATGAGCTGGGTGTTGCTTAAAAGGAACTCCCTGTACCACATCTTCCCTTCCTGGACGGTCCAAGTCACTCCCAACTCACTTCTGGAAGGATGTCCCTTGACTTCCAGATTCTGACCTTGGTGCCTCTCTCTGCCCCAGCTTGGTGCTTCCCCTTGGTGCCTCTCTCTGCACCAGCTGGCATCTTAACTCTCTTCCTGACCCTGGCTTCCTAACTGGGCCTCAACAGTGCTCTGACAACGTCTTTGGGTAATGCTCCCCTTGCCTAACTGCCTTTTGGTCTCTCCCCACATGTAATCACAGGTGCTCTTCCCAGAGACCTGAGGCAGCATGGCCTGATGGAAGGAGCCTGGATTTTAAAGCCAGACAGCTGTGTGTGTGTGTGTGTGTGTGTGTGTGTGTGTGTGTGTGTGTATGTTTTGAGACAGGGTCTTGCTTTGTCACCCAGGCTGGAGTACAGTGGCACAATCTGAGCTCACTGCAACCTCTGCCTCCTGGGTTCAATCTCATGCCTTAGCTTTCAGAGTAGCTGGGATTACAGACATGTGTCACCATGCCATGCCAATTTTTGTATGTTTAGTAGATATGGGGTTTCGCCATGTTGGCCAGGCTGGTCTCGAACTCCTAGCCTCAAGTGATCCACCCACATTGGCCTTCCAAAGTGCTAGTATTATAGGCATGAATCACCACGCCTGGCCTGAAGCCAGACAGACGTGTGTTCTAATCCTGCCTCTTCCATTTGTTAACAGGGTGAACTTGAGCAAAGTATTCTATTTTTTCAACTGTAAAATGGGGATAATTTATCTTACTGGGTTTCTGTGGTGGCTCAATGAGATAAGGGACCTAGGACACTGAGCAGGTTGACCCTTTGAAAATGGTGGTTCTTACTAAGAGGGAAGACAGGCAGGAGCACACACATTGCATAAACACCACCTTCCCACCTCACCAGTGATAACATCTGACCAAGATATCAGGCATTTACTTTATGCGGAAAAGTCCTGCATAGATGGAGCTGCCACTTCCTCATTTGTAGCCTGCTCTCTAATATTTCACAATCTGTGTAGTTAGGAAATAGTTCTTCATATCTAACCTAAGTTCCTCCTGCCATAGTGTATTGTAGCACACTTGTTTTAAAAATAACACACAGGCCGGACACAGTGGCTCACACCTGTAATCCCAGCACTTTGGGAAGCTGAGGTGGATAGATTACTTGCAGTAAGGAGTTCAGGACCAGCCTGGCCAACACGGTGAAACCCCATCTCCACTAAAAATACCACAACAAAAAAAAGCTGGGCATGGTGGTGGGCACCTGTAATCCCAGCTACTTGGAGGCTGAGGCAGGAGTATCACTCTAACCTGGAAGGCAGAGGTTGCAGTGAGCCAAGATCTCGCCATTGCACTCCAGCCTGGGCCGACAGGGCGAGACTCTGTCTCAAAACAAACAAACAAACAAAAACAAACAAACAAACAAAACATACACACACAAACAGGCCCATGAAAATGAGCAGATTTTTCTATGAGTTAGGCATTCACTTTGTCTTGGGTTTACTATTTTTTTTTTTTTTTTTTTGAGACGGAGTTTTGCTCTTGTTACCCAGGCTGGAGCGCAATGGCGCGATCTCGGCTCACCGCAACCTCCGTCTCCTGGGTTCAGGCAATTCTCCTGCCTCAGCCTCCTGAGTAGCTGGGATTACAGGCATGTGCCACCATGCCCAGCTAATTTTTTGTATTTTTAGTAGAGACGGGATTTCACCATGTCGACCAGGATGGTCTCGATCTCTTGACCTCGTGATCCACCCGCCTCGGCCTCCCAAAGTGCTGGGATTACAGGCTTGAGCCACCGCGCCCGGCTGGGTTTACTCTTATATTCAAGAAACCAGTGAATATTCGTTGTGTGGCCACTGCAGACAGGGACTATGCTAGGCTGTGCTGGGGAGCTCCAAAAAGGCATGAAAAGACTCCAGCTCCCTTGAGGTTCATGTCCTGCTGGAACCAGGAATCTCAGTCCTTGTCTCTTTAGTTTTCAATTGCAGGTGAATGACTGTCAGTTTACAAATTCTAGGAACACAGCAAAGGAGTTTAGTGGGACTGATCACTTTGGTAGCTAATCAATGACAGGATGTACAACTTGGCTCTGGCAAGACTGAAATGAAAATTGTGGGTCGATCTTTAACATTTAAGCAATGACACTAAGTGGTCCCAGACAATTATTTCATTCAGCTACTCAGGTGCATGTTGCAGGTAATCCTTCTTGCTGGGCTGTTAGAATGAACCACATCTTTTCAGCTATGTGGCACAGAATCCAAGTGTTTAAGAAGTGCCCGTTGAGGGAAATGTTTGCCCTGTGTGAAAGCAAGGGCAGACCTCTCAACTTCACACATGTCCACTCTGACCCTGTAAGCCTGTGGGCTGAGAGGATACACTGAGGACTACAGACAACCTATAGATGTGTTTTGTTTGGTCTGATGGTGTTTTACTTTTGTTTTTTAAGTTGAATTGTTTGCCAAAATCCAAAAACTGATAGACTCACATGATCCAGATTTCTGGCTTTTCTTGAAAAATGGGAGCTCTCGAGATACTGAAGTGGCATTTCCTAATAGTAACATTATCTAGATCTGAGTGAAGACGCTGTCTTTAGGTGGGGCCACCATTTCCTATGCCTCACTCTGGTCATTGCAATCATCTATGGAACTTGCCTGGGCTCTGAAGGCATTTGAATTTTGGACTCTTGGCCTGTGAAGACCCCTTTGGTCATTGATAGAGAGCACAGCTGCCAGTGATCTGTTTCTTTGGGTTCTCTGCTCTCTCCTCTTCTATAAGAAATGAAACCTGCAGATATGTCTTCCCTAAGTTTACATTTAATGCCCACCATTGAAGAGATTTCACTACAGTTGAAAACATTTCTCATGTTACCTCTTGGTCCTCTTATGAGGAGTGAGGGGATGAATCTCCCTGCTTTTTTTTTTCTTTCCTTTGAGCCAGAGTCTCTGTCGCCCAGATTAGAGTGCTATGGCGCAATCTAGGCTCACTGAAACCTCTGCCTCCTCGGTTCCAACGATTCTCCTACCTCAGCCTCATGAGTAACTGGGATTACAGGCGTGCACCACCATGCCTGGTTAATTTTTATATTTTTAGTAGAGATGGGGTTCCACCATGTTGGCCAGACTGGTCTCGAACTCCTGACCTCAGGTGATCTGCCCTCATTGGCCTCCCAAAGTGTTACAGGCATGAGTTACGGCACCCAGCCTGATAAATCCCTTTTGCAATTTGTCTCTTTGCACTCTTTCCAGGTTCTTTATAGTCCAAGGGGCTTCTGTGTGGGCAAAGGAACACCCTCTACAACTTCCAGTATAACTGATGCTCAATGTATCAAATTTACATGCCTAGTAAACAAAATTCGGAAATAAAAATTTCTTTCTTTTTTTCTTTTGAGACAGTCTTGCTCTGTCACCCAGGCTGGAGTGCAGAGGTGCTATCTTGGCTCACTGCAACCTCTGCCTCCTGGGTTCAAGTGATTCTCCTGCCTCAGCCTTCTGAGTAGCTGAGATTACAGGCACACGCTATCACGCCCGTCTAATTTTCATAATTTTAATAGAGACAGGGTTTCACCATGTTGGTCAGGCTGGTCTAAAACTCCTGACCTCAGGTGATCTGCCTGTCTTGGCCTCCCAAAGTGCTGGGATTACAGGCATGAGCCACCTGGCCTGACCAGAAGTAAACATTTCTAAGCTACAGTTTAAGTTCTGATTACAAACTCTATTTCTTTTGGGTGAAAATAATAGAAAAGCTTGACTCAAAATGGCTTAAGCAATAAGGATTTTTTTTTTTTTTTTTTTTTTTTTTTGAGATAGGGTCTTATTCTGTCACTTCAGGCTAGCGTGTGGTGGTACAATCACGGCCCACTCCAGCCTTAACCTCTTGGGCTTCAAGTGATCTCCTGCCTCAGCTTTCCATGTAGCTGAGACTACAGGCACACGCTACCTGTAGTATTTTTATGGACAGTATTTTTATTTTTTTTTGTTGAGATGGGGGTCTCGCTTTGTTGCCCAGGTTGGAAGGAAATTTATTATCTCCCATAACATGAAGCTAGGAGGTAGGGTGGACCTTGGGCGCAGTACGTCTGGGCTTAGGCTTCGTTTCCTGTGATTCTGTCAGCAATGCCCTTCTCAGTGTATTGGTATCATCCTCAGCTAGCAATGCGGCTGGTGCAGTGCCAGTGTCATATTCAGACACAGTTTAGAAGAGGAAGCGGGATTCTCACTATTTCCTTTTGAGGGGGAACTGTGGGAACCTCTGCTAGAAGCCTTCCAGTGGACTTTTCCTGAAATCTCTTTGGCCAGAACTGTGTAACACACCTGTTCCTAAATGAACCACTGGCAAGAATGGGATTGCCGGTTGGCTTTTACTAATCATCCCAGAGTGGAAGGAATGTTGGGAGTCTATCATAAGGATCACCACATAAACTTAATTAAATTCCCTTAAAGAATCTAAATTACAGTAACAAACTCAGTAACACTAATCTCACCCTCCTTTTCTTGGCGGGGACTGGGCTTGTGGTCTCACTCTCCCGAACGTACGGAGGAAGAGGGAAAGGGCTCTGGCCCCCTTGACGTCATGTCTTTGGTGCCGATGGCTTCCCATCCGCGGGTTCTATCCTCAAGTGCTGAGACACCAGGAAGAAAAAAAAAAAAGAAGAAGAAGAAGAAGAAAAGACTAATCTCAAGCATTGCAAACATCCTAAAACTTCAAATAGCAGACATAAACATGAAAATAAAATGATCCTTGTCTAGTGCCAGTTTTCAAAGGGAATGCTTCCAGTTTTTGCCCATTCAGTATGATATTAGCTGTGGGTTTGTTGTCAATAGCTTTTATTATTTTGAGATACATTCCATCAATACCTAGTTCATTGATACTTTTTAGCATAAAGGGCTGTTGAATTTTGCTGAAGGCCTTCTCTATCTATTGAGATAATCATGTGGTTTTTCAGACAAGAAAAAGAAATAAAGGGTATTCAATTAGGAAAAGAGGAAGTCAAATTGTCTATGTTTGCAGATGACATGACTGTGTATTTAGAAGACCCCATAGTATCAGCCCCAAATCTCCTTAAGATGATAGGCAACTTCAGCAAAGTCTCAGGATACAAAATCAATGTGCAAAAGTTACAAGCATTCCTATACACCAATAACAGACAAACAGCCAAATCATGAGCAAACTCCAATTCACAATTGTTAAAAAGAGAATAAAATACCTAGGAATACAACTAACAAAGGACATGAAAGACTGCTTCAAGGAGAACTACAAACCACTGTTCAAGGAAATAAGAGAGGACACAAAGAGAGGGAAAAACATTCCATGCTCATGGTTAGGAAGAATCAATATTGTGAAAATGACCATATTGCTCAAAGTAATTTATAGATTCAGCGCTATTCCCATCAAGCTACCATTGACCTTCTTCACAGAACTGAAAAACAAACAAACAAACAAAAAAAAACACCTTAAACTTCAACATGGAACCAAAGAAGGGCCCACATAGCCAAGACAGTCCTAAGCAAAAAGAACAAAGCCGGTGGCATCATGCTACCTGACTTAAAACTATACTGCAAGGCTACAGTAATCAAAACAGCATGGTATGGTACCAAACAGATATAGACAAATGGGACAGAACAGAGGCCTCGGAAGTAGTGCCATACATTTACAACCATCTGATCTTTGACAAACCTGACAAAAACAAGCAATGGGGAAAGGATTCCCTGTTTAATAAATGATGTTGGGAAACCTGGCTAGCTATGTGCAGAAAGCTGAAACTGGACCCCTTCCTTACACCTTATACAAAAATTAACTCCAGATGGATTAAAGATTTAAAAATAAGATGTAACACCATAAAAACCCTAGAGGAAAACCTAGGCAATATCATTCAGGACATAGGCATAGGCAAGGACTTCATTACTAAAACACCAAAAGCAATGGCAACAAAAGTCAAAATAGACAAATGGGATCTAATTAAACTTAAGAACTTCTGCACAGCAAAAGAAACAATCGTTAGAGTGAATTGGCAACCAACAGAATGGGAAAAATTTTTTGCAAGCTACCCATCTGTCAAAGGGCTAATATCTAGAATCTACAAAGAACGAAAACAAATTTACAAGAAAAAACCAAGCAACCCCATAAAAAAGTGGGCAAAGTATATGAACAGGCACTTTTCAAAAGAAGACATTTACGCAGCCAACAAACATATGAAAAAATGCTCATCATCATTGGTCATTAGAGAAATACAAATCAAAACCACACTGAGATACCATCTCATTCCAGTTAGAATGGCAATCATTAAAAAATCTGGAGACCACAGATGCTGGAGAGTATGTGGAGAAATAGGAACACTTTAACACTGTTGGTGGGAGTGTAAATTAGTACAACCACTGTGGAAGACAATGTGGCAATTCCTCAAGGATCTATAAGTAGAAATACCATTTGACCCAGCAATCCCGTTACTGGGTATATAACCAAAGGATTATAAATCGTTCTGTTATAAAGACACATACACACTTATGTTCATTGTCGCACTGTTTACAATAGCAAAGACTTGGAACCAACCCAAATGCCCATCAAGGATAGACTGGGTAAAGAAAATGTGGCACATATACACCATGAAATACTATGCAGTAATGAAAAAGGATGAGCTCATGTCCTTTGCAGGGACATGGATGAATCTGGAAACCATCATTCTCAGCAAGCTGATACAAGAACAGAAAACCAAACACCACATGTTCTCACTCATAAGTGGGTGTTGAACAATGAGAACACATGGACACAGGGAGGGGAACATCACACACTGGGGTCTGTCGGGGGATGGGGACTAGGGGATGGATAGCAGGGAATGTGGAGATTGGGGAGGGATAACATTAGGAGAAATACCTAATGTAGGTGACAGGGTGATGGAGGCAGCAAACCACCGTGGCATTTGTATACCTATGTAACAATCCTGCAAGATTTGCACATGTACCCCAGAACTTAAAGTATAATAATAAAAAAAAAAATGATCACGAAAGGCTAAAACTACACTTAAATCTAATTTTAAAACATTAAAATCATGAATTTATTTTTGTTGCCTCTATACTTATAAGTAATTTGATATTTTTGTAGTGTTACAGTAATATTACTAGACCACAAATTCAAATAAGATCGTTTCATACCGGCCAAGGTTGTTAGGTTGTTTGTATTATTTATTTGAGATGGATTCTTGGCTGGAGCGGGGGACTTGGTGGCACCTTCTAAACCTTAGTTGGCATGCATTAGCGTACTTCTCACATCCTTTTAATAACAGAATTGTATAAATTAATTTATGTACCATACAATTCACCTGTTTTAATGTTTAAAATTCAATGGTTTTTAACGTACTCAGAGTTATGCAACCATCACCACAATCAGTTTTACAACATTTCCATCACACCAGTAAGAAACCCCTTGGCCAGGTGCAGCGGCTCATGCTTGTAATCCATTCGAGCACTTGGTGGATCATGAGGTCAGGAGATCAAGACCATCCTGGCCAACATGGTGAAACCCTGTCTCTACTAAAATACAAAAAACCAGCCGGGCATGGTGGTGTGCACCTGTAGTCCCAGCTACTTGAAAGGCTGAGGCAGGGGAATCGCTTGAACCTGGGAGGCAGAGACTGCAGCGAACTGAGATCGTGCCACTGCACTCCAGCCTGGCAACAGAGCAAGACTCCGTCTCAAAAAAAAAAAAAAAAAAGAAAAAGAAAGAAAGAAAGAAAGAAAAAACAAACCCCTTAACAGTCATGCTCCAATTCTCCCATTCTCCTGGCCCTGGGCAACCACCAGTCTACTTTCTGTCCCTTTGAATGTGCCTTTTCTGGACAGTTCACGTGAATAGAATCATACGCTATGTGGAGGCTGGGTGCCTTTTAATCATTAAACTTAACTGGCTCTATCAATGGCACTTGCCATGTCTTTGGGGATTTCCTGAAATTACATATTTAAATTTTTTTTTTTTTAGAGACAAGATCTTGCTCTGTTGGCCAGGCTGGAGTGCAGTGGTGTGATCATAGCCCACCGTAGCCTGGAACTCCTGGGCTCAAGGAATCCTTCCACCTCAGCCTACCGAATAGCTGGGACTGTAAGCAAACACCACCACGCCTGGTTACTATTTTTATTTTAATTTTTGGTAGAGACAGGGGTTCTCTATGTTGTCCAAGCTGGTCGTGAACTCCTGGCCTCAAATGAGTGATCCTCCAGCCTAGGCCTCCCAAAGTGCTAGGTTTACAGGCGTGAGCCACAGCACCTACCCTCTGTATTTTTAAAGTTTTGCTTGGTTAGTATTATATAATCGATTGTAATGTCTTTGTGAGATATTGATCCAGATGTTTGCAATGATTGGAAATACTAACATGCCTTATATATTAGACATTCACTCCTTTCCTTTCTTCATTCATGTCTTCCTTCGTTTCCTCTTTCCTTTCTTCCTTCCACATGTATGTATTGAGCATCTTCTCTGTATCAGGCATTGTGCCAGGCACTGGAGATCCCACAGTGGACATGCACGTACGGCCCTTTCCCTCATGGACTTACGGTTTGGTGCAGTCCTGACCCTTCTGCTGATGACTTGAGGAGGTCATGCCATGTGAGTGCTGCTGAGTTACTGCTCCAGACGATACTGCAGTCCTCACAGCAGCTTCCTCCTCCTTCCCATGTTTCCAATCTTTCCACATCTCTTCTGCTCTCCAACCCTTGGCTTACTATCTTCAGGCATAATTACATAATGTATGCAAACCTTTCTGTACATAACAGCATAACAACTCATAAATATATATATTTGCTTTGTTATCCAATTTTATTTGATTAAAATACTAAACTGTTCATTTATCTCATACTTATACTTAGATTCTCCCATAAAAGGATGAAATTGAAGCATAACACAGGTTATTTATAAATAGCCAAAGTATAGATGCGCAGAGCTAACTGGGAAATCTTACAGTTGAGCACTAAATTTATTTTAGACTAAAAATGAATGCAAACAAATTTGCATCAGTGAAGAGAGTTCTGAATGGTAACATATTATTCAAATAAAGATTATAAAAAAGAAGAGATTACAATAATAAATTTGGTGACAGGTGAAAAATTAAGGAAGTATGTGGTAGAGAACATTACTGAAATTTCTATTCTAGAATAATATAGAGTTGGATAAAAATCAAACATTTTAATAAAAACTGATGCTCTTTTTTTTTTTTTTTTGAAACAGAGTCTCACTCCGTCACCTGGGCTGGAGTGCAGTGGCATGATCTCAGCTCACTGCAACCTCTGCCTCCCAGGTTCAAGCAGTTCTCCTGCCTTAGCCTCCTAAGTATCTGGGACTATAGGCACCAGCCACTATGCCCAGCTAATTTTTTGTATTTTTAGTAGAGACGAGTTTCACCATGTTGGCCAGGCTGGTCTAGAACTCCTGGCCTCGTGATCCCCCCATCTCAACCTCCTAAAGTGCTAGAATTACAGGCGTGACCACTGTGCCTGACCGAGAACTATTGTGTCCAGGGCATAAAACTTTAAAATTCTTTTTAAAGAAAAATATTCTTCAGTTTTATCCCCTGGAAACAATGTCCTTCTACTCATTATCAAATTGATTTACACACCCAACATCCAGATTTTGGATTCTACTGTGTC